AGTTGGCTTATTTTGACTCGATGAACTGTACGGACCAATCAGGAGCGAGGGATGGTGGAGGTTGGTGCCTGGGTGATCTGGACCGTTCATTGTGAAACTAACGGTCTCCTGAGTATGTTCATTAATTGGAAACAATTTGCTGTGATAAAATATAGGTTAAATGTTAAATTTGGTCCCTCAACTTTAGTGAGTTGCATATTTTTGGTCCCTTAATAATTTTTTGCACTTTTTTGATCCCTTAACTCTAAGAAATGCACACCGTTAATCTTTCTGTCAATTTAGACCGTTAACTACGACACGTGGCATTTTTTATAATTTTTTTGATGACATGGCAAAAATAATTTAAAAAAGCGTTGATATGGAATTTTTTTTAAGACACGTTATTGCCAACTCATCACCAACTCATCAACCGATTTTACCTTAATAAAAAAATAAAAAATTACAAATTTACCCATCTCCCTTTTTTGATCCATCTTCTTCCCCTCTTTCGATCATCTTCTTCCTTTGTTTTTTTTTTTCTTTTTCTTTCTTCCTCTTCTTTCTTCCTCTTCTTCCTTTGTGTCTGCTGGGTTCGGTGAACCCAGTTTGCTGGGTTCGGTGAACCCAGATGAGCTGGGTTCGAGGAACCCAGCTCGGGTTCGATGAACCCAGCAACCTGGTTCCACCTAACCTAGCTCGGGTTCGATGAACCCAGTTTACTGGGTTCAAGCTCGGTTCCGTCGAACCCAGCTCCACTTTTTTGTTATATATTTGATTGCGAAGAGATTATCCAAGTTGCAAGTTGTGAGGGATTTTTGCATCCTTTTCTTCATATTTTTTAAGTATTGTCTAAATGATTTCAATGTTCAAAATGGAAAGAATAGAAGCAGTTGGACAAAGAAGCAATTCTTAGTGGGTTTTCATTTGTTTGGCTGGAAAATGGTATAGTTTGGGTGTTTGGATGCTAAGAAAATGCTTTGAATTTGTTTGGTTGCCGAGATTGGTTACTAAGAAACTATAATGTCCGTTAAAGAAAGAAAATTTGATGAGAAAATGATGATTTAATTATAAATTAATTTAGAATCTTAATTTTGATTAATATAAATAATTATAGTTTAATGATGATTAATTAATA